TTCAAAAATGTTCTTTCGACACGCAGAAACAAATTGTACTTGCCGAAAACATTGTGTTCATGACAACATTTATAAAAATATATGACTGAAATAAGTCTAGAAATCATGTTTAAACTGCCGTATCGTGTGATACGGACCTCTCGTCAACCAATCCATTTACGTTACGGACCTGGGATTATGGACCGGAAAAAGATAAAGTTAATTATTTATGTTAATTGCAGAAGAATACAGTTTTGGGCTGGTATAATAGTTTGTGGGAAATGCCAAAAAAACTGGTACTATAATTTGGCCTCAAAAAGTCTTAGGTCATATATTAAAAACTACTTGTATTATATATATATATATATATATATATATATATTTGTTTGATTAGAACTTTGACTAACAAACTATCGAATAGCATGACATTGCTTATCTAATAAGCAATAACATTCCTTCACTCCTAGTTTGGAAAAACGATCCTAATGTCTTTAATTTTTTTTATATTTCTTTGTCCAAGTATATAAATTAGCTAAATAATCAATTTAAGCAAAGCTATAAATTGCGGTTAATGGAGTAATATGTTCTGAAGGCTCTATCTGCCTGAGGGTGTTTTCAGTCTGCCAACGCATCTGCGTCACAACAATTAATCCGTACCAGGTACGTACAAGGTCCAAGTACCTTGGCAGAACAAGGGAACCGTTTTCTAGCCCTGTTAATATTACAAAATATCTGATAAATATCGAACTTTGGCTGCTAAGCATGTGAACAACTGATGCAAACTTGGGATTAACCAATCAGAAATTATCCTGAAGGTTTTTTCCTTCACGTGCATACGTACAATGGCCCTCTCTTTGCGCAAGGACTTTTGATCGCAATGTCGACGTGCACTGCTCATTCGCAAGACTTTAGCCAGTGCGTTAACATCTCTGGCAAAATTTTTGGCTAAAATTAAGGGACCAAACCTTGGCAAAGAAGTGGAAATTTAAAAAACCCACCCACCTCCCAAAAATCATGTACACCGATCTGCGTCTCTTACAATATGGCGTGTTGTAAGGACAGTTAATTAGAAAAATGAATATTCCTGTATATAGTTAGCACGTTACTCATAGATTTGTAACCTACTTATGTGAAGAAATGCAATAAATAATTATATACTGGCAGGGAAGTGCTGTCCGTTGGACAACACTTCACCACGTGAAGCGCAATCACTGCTCATTCAGGTCGCACTGAAGACCTGAATGAGCAGTCCTATAGAGACTCGATGTGGTCAGTCAGGTTATCAGTTGCGGCCCGGGGTAATGTGCCCTATACCAATAGTTGTTCACCAGTCCAACTAGGTCTCAATGTCGACGGCCTGACGGATCTGAACGGGGGTTCGCCTGTTCCCCTGTTATCGAGAGGTTCGCCTGCTCCTCTAGAACAACCTACAGTTTTTGCGTGTATCCTCAGCCAGCTTTGAGTACCCTGGGTAATGTGCCCTACACCAATAGTTGTTCACCAGTCCAACTAGGTCTCAGCTCGCTGAACGACATGCACAGAGTCAAGCATGCCCCCTGCAGTCTAGAGATTCGCCTGTTTCTCTAGATCAAACTTAGGTTAGCGAGAGCCTCTAGACAGTTCGGCCGGAACTGTTTTCGAGCACTTCTCTGCCCAAAATATATGCCACAAAAATGTGTTCCAAGTTATTGTTGTCTTGCTTAGTTGCCAGTTGTTCGATTTTAACTATCTGTCTCTTTTCCAACATATTCAACTTCATTAAGTGTAAATATAAAGTTTTTAAAGTTACTGAAATGTACTGTAGTATACATCCTAATTTTGAACTTCATAATTTACTAAATGTTTTGGTCTTTGACGAATTCGTGTAGAACATCTCTTTTGCGAACTAACTCAACAGGTTGTCTCACTTCCGAGATAGATGGTTGTGGTGCTGCCGGTGACTGTGGTGCTGGGCTCTGGGAAATATCACAAGAAACTAAAGGTGTCTCCTGATTTCCACTTTTCACTTGTGGGGTTATATCCTAGCTGATCAGTACGGATTCTAATATAATCTTGGTGTCTTCGCATTATTTCACCAGTGCTCAGCCTCACTCTAGCAGAAACAGGACCAGTTTCTCATCCACAGCTGCCGACATTCAACATTTTGGACATCTGAAATCTTTCATATAAACAGTGTCATCCACTTAATTGTTTCTCCGGTTATCGTGGGATGATTTTTGTTGTGTTTGCTTTTCCAGGACTCGGTCACTAACGTTTGGGTGGAGTAGGTCCAGTTGGGTGTTTAGTTTCCATTTCATCAACAACTGAGCCGTTGGAACTTCCCTGGTGGAATGTGAGGTGATACGATACTTGAGAAGAAATCTAGCCAGTTTGGTTTTTAGACTTCCTCCCTCCATTTACGCTATCCTTCCTTGAATACACGAACTGCCCGCTCTGCTTGGCCGTTAGAAGCTGGATGATACGGTGATACTTTAATATGTTTAATGCCATTCTGACTCATAAATAGCTCATAAATTGGCTGCTTGAAAAGTTAGTCTGTTCTCCGATTGAAATAAGGTTGTAATTCTTTGCTAGGACAGGTGTTGTTCTGCCAATTTCCAAGGGTATACTGATGTACCTTGGCAAGTACTGGATCTCGTCTTGTCCTGGCCAGAATGCAAAGGTGTCTCATTTCTGGAAGTGGTAATGGACTTAATGCATCAGCATTCCCGTCCATTGCTCCTGCTTTACACTGAATTTCATATTCATACGCAGCAAGCGTTTGTGCCCAACGTTGAACTCTGGATAATGCCTGTGATGAGAACCCTTTCTTCTCTCCAATTAGACGTTCGAGTGGCTTGTGGTCAATTCGAATTTTAAATCTCTTGCCATATAAAAACTGATAAAATTTCTTCATCCCAACGATCATCGCCAGTGCCTCCTTGTCAATGGTTGAATAGTTCCGCTCAACTGGATTGAGTGAACGTGAAACATATCCTATGGAACGCTTAGTTCCATCGGAGATTCTGTGCGACAACACGGCTTCTATTCCGTAATAATCCTAAGCCCCCTGCTTGCAATAAACTCAATAATCTGGGTCAACACATGCACTTAACAGTTGTCAAATTTCACTGTACATTATCCAAACACGAGGACTAAAAGATCTTAATAGGCCAGTCAGGCTATAATGCCACATTTCAAATTATTTTTATTCATTGTTTTCCTTGTGAGTGCATATGCTTTCTTGTATGAACCTGCTATATCGTCTGACTCTTTTCATTAAAATGTTTCGTCATTCTTAATTGGCAAAGCGATGTGACGAGGGTAGCCCACCTTTTAAAAAAGTATGTTTGCTCCTGGAGTGAATGCAAACTTTCAGAACAATTAATGAAAGGTCGCATCGCTGATAAGACTCTGAATATTACACTTAGAAAACTCTACATGTACAGGATGTCCAAAAAATACCCGGACTATGTTTTGTGGTATATACTATGTCGGCATTTGATATGAGTTACAGATTTTTAGTTGGCAATCAAGTCAGAGTGGAGCATGCATGGATTAAATCATATAACTATATATATACTATATAATTAAGCTAATAAAAGTCAAAGTTCATGTAGGCTATAAACTTTTGCTGTAGTTCATAAAGCCACATTTATATAAGCTCTCTTAACCATGGTCATGCCCTCATTACGGTACTGAAAAACCCGCCTAAACGAACCAGTGCATGTGGGTTAAGAACGGTAGTGAAAAACCCGCCTAAACGAACCAGTGCATGTGGGTTAAGAACCAGTAGCCTGAAATTTAGGAAATTAAGCACCCAAAATACAAGAACCACTGCAGGCTGACAAATGAGACCGATTCTTAAAAAATCCTCATAGAATGCATGTCCTAAGTAAGGGCAGGCGGGTATTCGCAGGTGTATGCTATTTTCGATCTTTTTGTGGTTTATTACAATGGTATCAAGACAACGAAATATCTAAATTAAACAAAAAAAAAACATACGTGCGTGATAGCGAATATCTTTTTATCTCCAAATTACGGAAAATGATCAATTAATTTAAAAATGCTTTAAGCTTTTGGCAATAGATTAAAGTATAATTACTTATAGCAGACAAGCTGTCTGTATATTTGTAACATCTCTCCTTGGGAGACCGAATTCAAATGATTTTAAAAAGAACCTCTTTATTCTAAATTCTAAATCATCGACATGCATGTTATCTAAATTAGGCGGCGGGCAGGGTTGCGAAATAATAATGTGAATTATGGCTTTTCAAATGGAAAATATATTAATGTCATTCAAAATTGGCTTCTTACTCCTATTTCCTACTGCATGTCTAGTTTGTCAGTGGCGTAACATTCCAAAATTTGAAATCTAGAGTCCCGGAAATGCGATTTGAAGCATTTTGTGGGTGAAATTTGCAGA